TCAGTTTTAGAATTAATAGAAAGGGTAGAATTGCTATCATCAGGGGAATATATTGTATCAGTACTGGAATTTATTGAAAGGGTAGAATTACTATTATTGGGGTTGTTATTGTTACTTTGATTTAATTTTGTTATTTCCTCAGTTAATTCTTGTACATAGTCGTCAATTCCTACGTTCACAGCAGTGGAGTCATTGTCACCTAATGCGTTGATTTTTAGTCGGGATAATGCGTCAGCGTTTGTATTCTGTTTTCCATTTTTATGAATTATTTTAAAGTCGTATTCTGCTAGACGAAGTTTGTACCTGGTTAATTTACTATTTGGTTCTTTAAGAGAATCTAACCATGCTAGGGGTCTATGATCTGTATAAATTGTGAATTTAGTACCATATAAATATGGACGAAAATGTTTGACTGCCCATACAATGGCTAATAATTCTTTTTCTATTGTACTATATCTTTTCTCTGTATCATTAAGTGTTCTACTAGCATATGCTATTGGTTTGTCATTTCCAATTGGACCTTGGGAAAGTACAGCGCCTAGGGCAAAATCTGATGCGTCTGTAGTAAGAATAAATGGTTTAGAAAAGTCTGGGTATTGTAGTAAAGGTGCATTTACTAATAGTTCTTTGCATTTTTCGAAAGCGTTCTTATACTCGTCGTTAATAATAATTTTGCAATTTTTTTTTAAACATGTTGTCATCGGTTGAGTAATTTTTGAAAAATCTTTTATAAATTTTCTATAGTAACCTATTAAACCTAGAAAACTTTTAATTTCTGTAGCTGTTTTAGGAATAGGGTATTTTAAAATAGCATCAATTTTATCCGTATTTGGCTTAAGGCCTTCTGAAGTTATTGTGTGACCTAAATATGTTGTCTCTTTGCTTAAAAATTCTGACTTGTCTAATTGGATTTTTAAATTTGTTTTGCGCAGTCTTTCAAATACCGTTTTTAATTTTACTATGTGTTCTTCTAAACTAGATGAAAAAATAATGATATCGTCGAGGTATACTAAGCAGTGTATGCCTTGTAATCCGCGTAGAATGTTATCCATTGCGCGTTGAAAAGTCGCAGGCGCGGTTTTTAGACCAAAGGGCATGCGTAAAAATTCGTAATGACCGAATTGCGTAGAGAATGCTGTTTTAGGTTGATCTTTTTTTTCTATCTCCAATTGATGATATCCACTTGCTAAATCGAGCACAGAGAAATAAGTACTCTTTCCTAATTTATCAAATAGATCTGTAATGTTAGGTAACGGATATTTGTCATCTGTCGTTATTTCATTTAGTCGGCGATAATCAACTACCATTCTAAATTTTCTTTCGCCGCTCGCGTCTAATTTTTTTGGAACTAGGTGTACCGGGGCACACCAAGGCGAGTTGGATTCTTGTATGACATTGTCTTTTAATAATTTATCTACTTGTTTTTTTATTTCGGTTGCTTCAGCTGGAGATTGTCTATATGGTTTAACGTGAATTGGATCTTCGTTTATGGTTCGAATTTGATGTTTTACTTGGTTTGAAAAACTAAGGGGCAAGTGTTCACTATAAAATATATCTCTGTATTGAAAACATAAATTGTAAATTTTGTTGCGTTCCTCCTCATTCATGTGATTCAGACGTAATTTTGACAAGTTTTGTTTTAAAATATTGTCTATTTGTGGGTTATAATTATTTTGTAAATTATTTAATTTAATTTCAGAGTTATTAAATTTAATGACGTTAATCGGTTTAGAGAATGTAATTTGTAAAGATTTCTTATTAGTATTTTGGATAATGGTGGTGGCAAAACCATTTTCACACTTTACTATTGCTGAGGGCATTCTAACGCCTTCACCAAAGCTGAAATTTTCTATTATTGCTTCACCTTGAATTAAATTTACAGGAACTCGAACTCTTGTCTCTGTTCTTGGTTCTAAATATACACTATGTGGGGGGCTATATACTATTGGGATTTCAGTATCTTTTGTTTTTAGAATCTGATTTTTCATATCTATATTAGCGTCTAATTGTTTAAGTAAATCGGAACCTATCAATCCTCCGTAATTATTATCTACGTCGTATATGTAAAATTTATGATATTCGAAACTTTTAAATGTTTTTAGCAATGGGATGTAAACTACTTGATCATGAAAACTTTGGGCATGTGTACTTATCACTTCAAATGGTTCATGATATGTATAATCGGAAAAATATTTTTTTGCTATTGAGGGATTTAAAAAGGATCTAGTGCTACCTGTATCTATCATTAATTTTGAATTGATTTCTGGGATTACGATATGGGGTAATTTTAATGCTCCGTGGTGATTAAGATATACTATTTCTGAGTTTCCATTTCCGAGGCCATTATATAAAAATTTTCATTTTCGGGATTTTCCGTTGGCTCATACTCGATTTGGTTAATGGAATTTTCATGATTATTTTCGTTAATATAAAATTCTTGTTGGTCATACAATTCTAATGGATATTCTTCGTCATTGTCTTGTGTATAAAAGAGATTATTCGCAGTTCTTTGCGGTATATTTGGTTTTGGTTGTGGGGCTGTTCTCATGGAAATGTCATTTTCGTATCTAAATGGTTTCGTTTGGTTTTGTGGTATGCCGAATTTAAATTGTTGTTGTGGTAAATTTTGAGGTCTGTACCCAAATTGTTGTTGTGGGTTTTGTGGTCTATTTTGGGGAATGCCGAATTTAAAATTATTTTGTGGTAGGTTTGGACGATAACCTTGAGGTTGAAGTTGTGGTTTAAAGGTTTGAGGTTGATTGATTATAGGACGAAAGCCTTGAGGTTGAGCTTGTAGTGGTTTTATTTGTTGAATACCAAATTTAAAGTTAGGGGTAAAATTAGGAGTAAAATTAGGAGTAAATGTCGGTTTGCTATTATTTATTAAATTTTGACCATATTTTAATTTATTGTTATTTTTAGAGTTATATTGATTAATAAAATTGACTTCTTCCATTACTACGGATAGAGCTTCCTCTAATTTTGTGCAGCGATGAAGTCTGACAATTCTTATCATATCTTCCGGTAAATTATATAAGAAAACGTTTAAGGATAAGTTATTATATATGTTCATCTTAGCTTCTTTAATACTATCGTCGTTTAATAAATTTACTTTTGAAAATAGCGTACTACGAATGCTTTGAATGCGATTACAGAATTCTAGAAAAGATTCGCCATTTTTGATTTTAATATTTTCTAACTCTATTGCAATGCACTCCTCCGAACGAGGGTCGCCAAAATGTTTCTCTAAAAGTTCTTTAAGGTCATTCCAGGATGTAATATCTTGCCTTTCACTAATTAAATGAGCCGCTTTACCAACTAATCTACTAGTTATTGCATGAAAAACATAAGTGTCTTGGCAACTGGTTACTGGTTCAAATCGTGCCGTTCTTATCACGTATTCGCTTTTCTTAATGTATGAATTTAATAGTTTCTCATCTCCGTCAAATTTGGGTATTATGTTTAACAATTCGTTTGGAATCACTTTTATGTTCTGCATTTTATTTAATGGTATTTAAATTTCGGTATTAAAAAAAGAATTAAAATTAAGATTAAAATTAAGTAAATTGTATGTACGTCGTTACGTCACGTATTAGTATTACATAAAACACAATATAATATAAAATCACAATTAAAAATATCTTAAACTAATACAACAATCGGAAATAGAGGGAAAGAAATACAGGATTGTGAAGAGGTTTACTCACATTAATCTGCTTCCTCCCATCCTTCTGACTATAGTTGCACTGATATATTTCGCTCTTTAATAGTCGCTTTATCTATTTCGACAAATTTATTTTGGTTATAAGGATATATTCTTAAAGCGTTAAAACACACCGAGTCTATGGCAAAAGCCGATGTTTGTGCCTTTTAAGCAATAAACTCGTAGAATAATATCCTGTCCGCAGCGCCAGTCAAATTGCGACGTGTCCGAGGGACCTTTTTAAAAAGCGAATATATTTATTAAAACTAGACTTAACTACTGGTGGTCGATGTTAGACCTTACTACTACGTGGTCAATATAAGACTGTACTGTTACATGGTCATTATAAGACTGTCTATAATTCTCACCGTTCCACCATCCCAACTATGATTGTTTATATTTCATATTCTGAGAACTCTAAATGAAGTATGCTTAGCCAGCTCTTAAGTCTGGAGTGTCGATTGCTATATCCTTAGTGTGGGATGATGTAACTACGTAGAGAGTTCAATCACTGCAACCGTGATCACGTGATGGATTCTTCGATGGACCATCCAAGTAAATCTATATTGCAGATATCAACTTTTTATGATACAGGAAGACAGACAAGCACTCGATGGCAGTTGAAATACCCAGCCGTGTAACATCACAATATTGCGCTGCCGCCCTATATTGCCTTTAAATATTCAGTAATCGACAAACTAAAACTTAAATTGTTGGTCATAAACTACCGTCCACAGCAGTGAACGGTGGTATGTGATTTGGGGAAGTTGGATATTCCTACCACCCATTTAGTATTTCAACACGAAATCGAACATATTTAAAAAAATATAACTTGATTTGTAAAATGTTGGACCCGGTGGGAATCGAAGCCGTGACTCGTTTATTAACGTCCATCAAATTAACTTGAATTTACGACAGCAACAAGTGCACAATAATATCACCTTATCGTCTAAATGTCACAAATACACGGATTAAGATTAAATTTACGAATATTTAAATCCACGATTAGATTTCGGTCTCCTTTCTACACGAACGACCTGTTTCACCCTAATCTCTTTATTGTCTCCTGTTATTTACATTTACGATCCACGTACCAATAATCTTTCACTTAAATACTGTCTATAGTTTACGCGAGTAGTACACATTTAAAAAAAAACACTGTAACGCTTTAAAATGCGATTCTCCCCGTGACAACGTGAAAGCATCTGAAACGTCGGGTCGAACTTAAAAATAATTTTCAAATAAGTTTAACGAATATATCGCGTATTAAACCGTTAAAGTGTTTTATTTAAATCTTTCACTTTTTAATCATTTTCTCGTTCACCTCATCGTTATCTTCTTCTTTAAATCTTCCATTGTTGAAGTAGTCTTCGATTTCTTGCAGCGTCCTGTCTTTTGTTTCAGGTAGAATGAAATAGAGTACCAGTAAAGAGATGCCCATCAATGATCCAAAGAAGAAGAACGTACCGTAGACTTTGATACTCTCTAATAAATACGGTGTAATTTGTAAAGGAAATAGTAGCATGATGGACATAATAAAACCAGCTGCTAGAGATCCTGCACCTCGATGCGGCAAGGGAAACACTTCGCCCAATAAAGCCAACGGTATAGGTGTACAACCTAAATTCGCCAGAATAAAATACAACACAAATATTGAAATGGGGATCCACGTACGATCTGGTGAGATCACACCTTTGGCTGCTACAAATAAGTATAAACAGACAGTCATCAAGACTGCGTATGCGGCGAATCCAGTGCCCAATAACAAAGTGCGCCGCTTCATCAATTTAACAAGAACAGAAGAGAAGAATGCGCTCGTTGTAATTATTATATCAATGGCCAAAGTGTAATAGAAGGAGTTGGACTTACTGCCAGTGACTTCTGAAATAATTTGCAAAGCATACGCGGGAAAGATATGTCTGCCACAGTTTTCGAGAAGCATAGCGCTGAATATGACTATTATTAGAGGCTTCAGGAAGTCACGACGCGTGAACTTCTGGAAGAACTCCTCAACGTTTCTTCTCAAAGATGGTGTTTTTGGCTTCTCTTCCAATCTTCCTTTCTGCGCGTGGAGCAGTTCGTCCAATTCCTTGCGCGACTTATCGCTCGTCCCTCTTAACCATTCGAAGGATTTTTCACTCTGCTCGAACTGGTTTTTAGATGCTAACCACGAAGGGCTTTCCGGCCAGGTCATGATAATGCCAAAGGCTACCGCGTGCGGTACTATCCCGATAAGAGCAATGGTCCTCCAATGATAGAAATGTCCGAAGACGTGAATCACCATATTCCCTAAGCATACTGCTGTGGTCTTCAAGTTCAAGAACATTCCTCTGTTCGAAGGGCTCGTGTATTCGCCGATGACGACGGCTCCCAAACAAACTGTGGCGCTGGCGGCAAACCCTCCGAGTAGCCTTCCGATTACAATTGTGGTGACATCCCGAGCAAAATAAATCAGCATCCATCCAATAATACCAGGAATAATGACGATAGCGTGAGCCTTCTTTCTTCCAAGAGTGTCCATTAGGAGCGAGGATACGAAGAATCCACCAAAGCCAGCGATCCCGATGCATGACGCTGGAAAATAGAGTATATTTTTAATAACCATTTGGAAAACTAATCTTCTTTACACGGTAGCTAAAATGGTTGCAGCCGGGATAACTGTGGATACCGATCCAAGTGTCATTGAATATTTTCAATCTAAAATAGGTTTTAAATTAAATATTTTAGATTGAAATGTATAAGCGTCTGCTAGTGACCCGGACGGAATTATCGTATATATATATATTTCGTATATCGTAATACTCCTACCACGTACTATCCAGATTGCCAGACGACATCCAACATCTTTCAAAAAGATTATGAACTGATTAGAAATATGTTGGATTCGGTGGAAATCGAATCCACGACCCATTCATATATATATTGCTACCATTAGACCAAAAAGCCGGTCATGTTTCTTTATATCTAATGACGAAATATTTTCAAGTGCCTCTTGCATTAAGATAATGCGATTCGAAAAATCATTCGAGATCAACCTCGATCTATATTCTATAATCCATACTGTGCTAGGACTGTACAAGAAGAAGGATTTTCTTATAAAATCAATGTTCTTACGATGGGCAATATAACTGAGATAATGAGTTGTTACTGAACTAGATAAAGTCATATTATGCTTGTTATAAAATTAATTACGTTGTTTGTTCTTATTACAATGCGCAAAACTGTATAAATAAATACATAAGGATGTATCCGTATGTTCTTATATTTTATACTAGCTGTGCCAGCGACTTCGTCCGCGTAATTATTTTAGGTAACAAAAATGATTTTGGAAACCTCCTCATCTATTAAATTACAGCTATTAATCGTACTTGCGATAAAAGCTGTAATTTAATCTTATCAGTTGATCAGTCTTCTGTGCCCTGCCCAACTGAAATAATCTATTGTTTCCCCGAGATTCGAACCTAGGATCAGTCTCTTAATGCCATGTTTATTTCAAGTAAAATAAAAAATAATAAATAATCTACAAAGTCTAGTAAATAAGAGTTGTAACCTTTTTGATTATTTTAGATACTTATAAGGTCATCACAAACAATTGACGTCAAATTAGCTTAGCTGAGCTAAGCTACAAGCTAAAGCTTTGTTTTAATTCCAAGCCAAAAAAAAACGTCATACCAATCCATGAAGCTGTGTGAATGTTGATTTTGATATCAGAATCTGGCGCTTGCAGTGATGGCAGAAGACATGCTGTGTAACTGAGGACCATACCTTGACCAAGCATGTTGAGTAAGACTCCAAGCACCACCCATGTCTGTTGGAGATGTAGATATTTCGTATTGTTAGGTAAAAAAATCAATTATAAGTTGACAAAAGAAAGACACGGGCAGGACATCAACCGGCATCAACAGCGTTCCGTGCTGTCGCTATAACCAATTGAGCCACCGTGTCTTACACGTCATCGTATTTTTTTTTCAATTTATAATCGATTTTTAATTTATGCAGTACCATCATGTGCACATAGGAATGAAAAATATTAAAGTTTTCAAAACCTGTGTTACGAAGATGTACACCGACTTGCCTACAAGTATTAGACGCTTAAAATTTTTAATACACTTCAAAGCTACCAAATCCTAAAGATTAACTTCAACAAATTAAATGAAAGCCTTAATAATTAAATAACGTTTACTATCAATAATTAAAGTAAACGACGTGCATAGTATTTTGTTTTGACGGGCTAGTTGAACTTGGTTCTGTGTAGCAATGTATGGCTAATAACCAACGGGTTGTGGGTCCCATTCCCAGCCCAACATGTTACATGAAGTCGCATATTAAATGGGGGAAATCTTAATTCCGTCCACCACACCATGTCCACAGATGAAAAAGCCATGAGGTTTAATCGTGTTTAGGCTTCAGTCTGTGGATTCCGAATATCCAACGTCAGTAACAGTCCACGTAGAAGAATATTTTGAAAAATTATATTTAAATCCTTAAATATCCATAGTTCCGTTGGCGTGGTGGTACTAGTTATAATGATGTTATATTAATATAAAAATTATTTAACTACCTTCTCTTCTCTTTATCTCTCTCCACCTTCTCTTTTATACATTTTTGGCAAAATATAGCAAAATCGTGAGCTCGGAATTAATAAGTTACAAGTACCTCACAATCATAAATTGTCTATTTATCTTAAGTACTTATATAAATTAAGAAACAACATTTAATGAAAATGTTTCTTTATATTAATAAATCATTACCAACATCAAACAAAAAAGTCCAAACGCCAATGTTATTTAATAAATTATTATATTTTTTAAATCAATTAAAAATCTAGAGGGCTATGGTGTGTTTTTTTGTAATAGAGAAGGACAGAGAAGCATGACTCACTTGATAGAAGGTGAAATAACCCAGTTAATAAACATCTAAACAAGATGTGCTATCGACTTATTTTGGCTTTGGATATTCGGAATACAAGTGGGGTCAAGTTGGAGTAAAATATAATAGCATAAGTATTAAATAAATGCAAATACCTGCTTAACAAAAGGTGGCACCATCGTTACAGTTTAAAAGGATCGTTGTGTTCTCGCTAAGAATATAAACACACTATCGACTCAAATGAGCGTACACATAACTTTACAACTGAGATTACCGCTATCACCCGTCATTATTTATAAGACATTTACTAACATCATGTCTAGGAAAAGAACACAGTTTTTGGCATCGTAATAAGTTAAATATAATGAGATTTTAGTATGGGGAAATAGATTACAAAGGATAACATACACTTTGTTTTTTGCGTGCGCGCATAGCGAATACTGGATAAAGCTGGTTTATAGCTAGCGACGCACCGCGAGGTTTCTTCTGTATATTTTTCATCTATTATATTAAAAAGCTGTTGCTTTGTTCGTTTATTTGAACGCACTAGACGCGGCAATATTCTTCATCTTTGAGGATTTTCGTTGCGTGCGCTTCGAAAAGGTTCAAGAAAAAAGAAATATGTATTAAATAATATGCCTTCTTTAAATGATCTAAAAAGTGTTCGCGACAATATATTATGTCTATCTTTTAAAGATAATTTATAAAGCTGAGAACGTTTTTTTTTAAATTAATATTCAATAACTTTCAGACGAAGTCGCGGGCTATTCTTTGTATAAGAAGGTCAAGCAAAAACAGGGGTTTGTTTTTGCAAATCTCTACATCTTTATAGATTTAAGCTGCCCACGACATCGCTCGCGTCTCGTCGCTTGCGATCCGTCGTTCGGGTCCCGTCGTACTTGCAAGTTAATTTCAAAAGATAGACATAATATAATGTCGCAGACATTTTATTAGATCATTTAAAGAAGAAATATTCTTTGATACGTATTTTTTGGGTGTCTTTAAACGTTTTGGCAGCGTACGCATCTGAAACACGCAGAGGTGAAAAATTTCCCTCGTTTTGTTCACATTTCCCGCTGTATCTTCGCTTCTATTAGTCACAGCGCGATCTTGTATAGCCTTATTCGATAAATGCTACACAAAAATAATTGTTCAATTCGAACCCGAAGTTCCTGAGATTAGCGCGTTCAAACAAACAAATTCTTCAGCTTTATATATAGTATAGATGATGTACTAAATGTTTATTTGTTTGTCGTGCTTTGCTCTGAAAATTTAAACAGATTAAAGATTTGTTTTTAAGATGTAAATAATAATTTTGTAAATTTGACATACCTAGGATAAATAAAATAATTTTCACCGTTAAAAATGAAAATCTATCGCTTTTATTATTGTTAATTTATTTTAAGTACCAGAAAGAGAAGAGAGAGAATTCATGAGTAAAAAAATAACTTGTTAACATCCTTAGTTTGCCGTCTACGTAGCGTCAAATGAAACGCCTGTTGTATTATTTGAGCAAAGTGATCTACAAGAAACTTTGCTTAACATCGTATCGTGTTCTTCGTTCACCGTAACATTTCCTATTATATTTTTGAAAGTTAAAATAAAAAAGGATTGATTGGATGATTTTTAAAAACAAACAAAAATATCTACCATATTTGTTGATTTACAAAAATCATTGCTAAATTATTAATTTTTATATTGTTATTATAGATTGTTCGTCAAAGGAACAGACAAACAATAGATTTAAAGTCTGCGCATAACCTTAATATGATTTTAATATTAAGCAATAAAACTATTTTAAAAGAAGTGGGTCAAAGAAAGTTTTAAAGATAACATCTGTTAAATAACTCAATACGCTTAGTCAAAGATAAATAAGACATTTTCATTATCGCTGATAAAAATTTAAAATATGCTTCTTATGTTCTTATGTTAAAGAAATATACAGTATGATGTTTATTTGAGTTGAGATACACATACAGATTCTGTAATGGTTTTATCTTAACTTTGAATATTTTAGTAAGCAAAAAAATATAGTTATATATATAGTAAATAAGAATGACTAGCGCCGCTTATGTATTATGTGTTGTACGCAATAAATAAGATTAATTTAACGGATTGAAACGCGAAACATTTATCTTAATGTTTATTTGTAGTTCAAACTCCTCGTTACGGCCGATGTAAAGCAATCTAAATCGAAGTAAAAATCAAATAATATGTGTCGCGTTTTAAACGGTTAAAAGTAATTGTCTGTTAGTTGATGTCATGAATCTTGAAACATAGCTATTAGTTTAAAACTATGTACTTATATACACTCGAATTTTATTACGAAACTATGCTGCGCCCCCGGGTTTCGAATTCGGGTCATATCGCGATAGTAAAAGAACACTTCGATGTTTCAATTTGTTTGTTACATGAATAATGAAAAAATGCAAATGTATTTTACACTTTTTCATTATCGCTTTTCAATACATTTCGCGACATTCATTTGTTTTTTTTGTTACCTGAAACGTGTTTGTGTGTTATATTATGCATATATAACATACCTTATAATACTTAATGTTCTCAGTTCGCCCACGTCTAGCAAATAAAAATATATCTTGTATTTACCACTTTAATATGTTCTATTCGCGCGTGTCTTAGTGTATCTGTGTGGTGAAATATTATTAATAATATTACAATTACAAAAATATAAAAAGTGAATTAAGCTGTTTAAAGTTAAGTTAGATATGTATTTTAATTGTGATTAAAATCATAAAGTTTGGTTAGGACTACAAAGATTGTAATATTTACTTATACTGTAGTTTACGCGAGTAGTACACATTCAAATAAAACACCTTAACGGTTTAAAACACGATATATATTAGTTAAACTTATTGGTGACACGTCTCCCCGTGACCACGGCTCGTGTAAAGCATACAAAACGTCAAGCCGTTGTTAAAATAATTTTCAAATAAGTTCGAGTAATATATATCGTGTTTTAAACCGTTAATGTTTTATTTAAATATTTATTCATGATAGAGACGACCACGAAACATCTGAAAAAGATGCGCTGTCGTCCTTTTTCGCTTTGGTAATCCCCAGCACTTCACACCGTTAAACTTCACAGATTTTTATCTGTGGACAGTGGTTCGTGATTTGGACGGAATTACGATATTCCTACTGTCCATATCCAGTTTTCCAGACGAAGTCCAACATGTTTCAAAAAGGTTTAACACCCACAATCTGTTGTTTATAGACTGCTACGTGTACAATGACCCAGTCTATTTAGAAGCTAGTTTTTTCATTATTTATTTAACTGATAGTTTGAAATTAGCATATAATTATACTTGTAAAATGCAAATTTATTATTGTTTCTTGGAGTATGATAAAATTTGTGTCATGTGTTGAAAATGCGAATATAAAATACTGTCTATAGTTTACGCGAGTAGTACACATTTAAATAAAACACTTTAACTTTAACCTTAGTTAAACTTATTTGAAAATAATTTTTAACTTCGGCTGCGCAACGTTTCGGATGCTTTGCGGCGCCGATGTTAAAAATCATTTACAAATAAGTTTAACTAATGTATCGCATTTTAAACCGTTAAAGTGTTTTATTTAAATGTGTACTACTCGCGTAAACTATAGACAGTATTTGGTTTGAAATAAGTTTTCAAATACGTAACTAATATATCGCGTTTTAAACCGTTATAGTGTTTTATTTAAATGCGAGCATAGCTTAAAAGGTAGTTGCGTTGTGCGTACCGTTATGTCAATGTCTATTTATATAACTTGGCATTCGGCCATTTTCAAGTGAAGTGAATATTATTTAATCTAATATTACAAATGATCTGTCGTCCACACTATCGATGCGTGATAAAAATCTTGAAGGTTTCAACTCAAAGTGTATTTAGTTCCGTGATGTAAGTGTTGTGTTTCGTTATGGGGAAGTCTTGGATCACGCCATTTAAGAAACAGGTAAACACATAGCTTGGCAAAAATTTAACTGAAAAATATGTTGTTTCCACGCGTTTTGTCGATAAAAATCATGTATTCGTAATAGTTTAAGTATTCTCTGTCGTTCACGCGAGTTGAACAAATTTAAATAAAACATATTTAACGGTTTCAAAAGCGTTATGTATTATTTACCTTACTAAGCATCTATTTCAACTACGGCCCGACGTTTCGGATGCATTGAAGCAGACGTGGTCGTGGACAAACAAATACATTTCGCGTTTAAAACTGTTAAATATGTTTTTATTTAAAAGTGTCAGTGTCCTTGTTGGATTTTTCCTCATTACGTTCGCAGTATTGTGTGCTCATCTATACTAATATATAATGCTGCAGAGTTTGTTTTTTTGTTTGAACGCGCTAATCTTAGAAACTACAGGTTCGAATTAAAAAAAAAATATTTGTGTTGATTAGAGAATTTATGGAGGAAGGCTATAGGCTATAAAACATCCTGTCCTGTCTTGAGTCCCGTGACTAATACAAGAGAAGATACAGCAAGAAATGTGAAAAAAATTGGGAAAATTTTTCCAGGCGTACCCAAAAACGGTTCAAGAACGCAAAATAATGTATGAAAGAATGATTCCTCTTTAAATAATCTAAAAAAAGTCCGCGACGCTCTATGTCTATCCTTTAAGATTAACTTGTAAGAACGACTGGAAGGGACGCAATCGACGTCGTGGGTAACAGCTTTAGTTTATGAAGTAGAACAGGTTTGCAATAACGAATTTGGATGCCGGACGAAGTCGCTGACAGAGCTAGTGTACTATTACTTACTTTCGACACAAACCTTATTAATACCTTTTTAATGAAAGAGGGAAGAGAAACATGGTTCACTCGATGGAAGGTAAAATACTCAAGCTATAACTTACTATTATACTTATCAATGGTTCAATTTGGGGCCCTCGGTTCGAATTCCGGGATAACAATGAACTATTTCGGTCGGTCAGGACACAGTCGGAATTATTCTTGTTAATAGGATAATACAAAGATAAATATTGCTAATGCGTGACCGGGTATCGAACTCCACACCCAATTGTACCATTTACACATGTAACCCACTCGTTCATCGAATTAAGTCATTCTTTTTACTATTTTGACAACTGTTGAATATTAAATACTGTCTATAGTTTACGCGAGTAGTACACATTTAAATAAAACACTTTAAAGGTTTAAAACGCGATATATTAGTTAAACTTATTTGAAAATGGTTTTTAACTTCGGTCCGACGTTTAAAATCATTTTCAAATAAGTTTAAATAATATATCGCGTTTTAAACAGTTCAAATGTTGTATTTTGCTGACAGTATAAGGAAAAACTATTATTAATAAATTACTTGAATAATTATGAATTATTATTTTAATTGCAAAACGTAGATAATATAACTCGAGATAAATCTTTTAACAATATTGACGGTTTACAAGGCGAAATATATTAGTTAACTTATTCGTAATAACTCATTACTTAAGTATAATAGAGATTCTTTGGTCAGTGGTGTAACCTAGCGTTGCGTAAACGCGAAAGAATCTTAACTTGACGATAAAAGGAGTGACGGCGAGTGTCTTGCCAATTCTTCTTAAATTTTAGCTAGTTACTTTACTATACTAACTGCGAAACATTAGATGATTTCGGTCGGGCAGGGCACAGAAGTCTGATCAACTTGCCTGTAAATAACCCATCAGTGAATCGGACCAGAGATATATTTGCCCCAATGCCCCACGGGGGGTAACGGGTTTTTACGTTTTTGCTAGTTAAATTTGCCTTAAACGATCCCCGATCGATTCTTATCACGTCTTTCTATCGATAAGCGTTGATAAACACGAAACAGTACTTAAACAATATCTCAATTCGCTACGATTAGAAAACTGTACAAACTTTCCGACACTGTGTCTGTGCGTTGTAAGAAAAGTCGATTAGGGTTGTAGGTTCGATTCCCACTGGGATCGATATGTTTTTAAAATAATGTTCTTTCTAAGACTATGGACATTTTAGACCCGTTTGGTCCGATCAAATACAACAACAGTTGAACTACAAACATTAACAAACTGTTGTTGATTTAAAATCTCGCTAGACAAATTGTAATACAACGGTATTCACCATTTTTTGGTGACATCTATAGATCCAGATATGGTTATTGAATTGATGATAGAAATATCAAAATACCGTACTAAGTTAACTAATAAATTTAGAGTTTGAAATAAAACACTTTAACGGTTTAAAACGCATTATAGTTTAGTTAAGCGTGTTTGAAAATTATTATTAACGGCCCGACGTTTCGGATGCTTTGCAGCCGTGGTCACGGGGAGACACCTCAGTTATGTTTTTCTCGTTGAAAGAATTAAGTATTGTAGAGATTGAGATGGGTGTTTAATTTAGTATGCAATAAACATTTTCTTGTCCTTGTCTAACCGTAGTTGATGTATTGTTAGTACTTGATATATCTAGTTCTATTAAACACTTAACTTTATAGCTATGGCTAATTGCTACAAGTGAAGGTCTTGCGCATAAAAATAATATACCTACGTTAGTTATTATATCTTATTTTTTTAAATTATCTATACTAAAATTATAAAGCTGAAGAGTTTGTTTGAACGGACCAATCTCAGGAACTACGTCAGAATTGAATAAATATTCTCGTGTAAGATTAACCATTTATTTTAATTAGTGGGAGTGAAGAAATAATGATAAGAACGAAGACAATTATTCCTTTTTAAATTGTCTAGTTGGTCTAATGGTTCTACTGGAGTACAAATCATGAGATCCAGAAGTCAAGAGATCTAGACATTAAGCTGTCGGCCCTAGTTTTAACTACTAAATTAGTAGCCGTTAAAGAAACATCCAGGATTGAGGATTAAATAATATATTTTTACTTAATAATTTAATTACTAATATATAAAGCTGAAGAGTTTGTTTGTTTATTTGAACGCGCTAATCTTAGGAATTACGGGTTCCAATTGAAAAAATATTATGTGTTAGATAGAGAATTTATCGAGGAAAGCTATAGGCTGTAAAACATCGCGCTGTGACGAATAGAAGCGAAGATACAACGGGAAATGTTAACAAAACGGGGGAAATTTTAAATTTCTGGAGGATTCAGATGCGTACGCTGCAAAAACGGTTCAAGACACAAAAAATATATATGAAAGAATGATCCCTCTTTAAAAGATATAAAAAATGTCCGCGACACTATATGTCCATCTTTAAAGATTAACTTGCAAGAGCAACGGGACGCGACCGATGTCGTGTCGTCAAAATAACTATTCTACGAGGACGAAGTCGCTGACACAGCTAGTATATTATATTGAAATTATTTCATACTAGCTGTGCCCGCGACTTCGTTCGCGTGGAATAGTGACTTGGGGTAGAGTTTTTAATTATTTAGGCGGTTTACTAATTTATGTAAGGGCGCATTTAAGGCAGCCTATTTATGTTGTAAGTGCTATTTTGCCGCAACACTCTCATCTCACATCACTCCTAATGTAACTCCCACTCCCACTCCTACTCCTATTCCCAAAAAGTCAAAGAAAAAGTTTCATTTATCTAGCTTCAAAAAACACGAATTTCCATACAAACTTTCACCCCCCCTTTCAACCCCTTACAACCCCCCTTTCGCAATAAATAGCCTATGTTCTTTCTCAGGGTCTAGACCATCTGTGTACCAAATTTCATTCAGATCCGTTCAGTAGTTTTGACGTGAAAGAGTAACAGACAGACAGAGCTTTCGATTTATAATATTAGTAAGGATAAACTAGACATATAAGAATAACAATTAATATTACATTAGGTTGTAATGATACTTACTTATTCTTATATTATCTTATGATTGTGTTGAAAAGTTTTAAAAAATACAAACTCAGGATTAACGGGCAAGTATATTCGATGTACAAATTTTGCATCTACCCACATCTATATGTTCCTAGAACTATATTTTTTTTTTAACCGCCTCTGTAAATGGTTAAACGTATTCTAGCATTGTGTTAAGCGCGAGAGCTCCTGGGTTCGAATCCCAAGAAAAAAAACAATTGTTTTGGTCGGGCAGGGCATAGAAGTCTGTTCAACTACTTGCTTGCTAACAGATCAGTGAAATGGACACAGAAATATGTTCGCCCCATACCCCACGAGGGAGAAACGGGATTTCACGTTTTATTTTTTTCCAGTGCTTCGTGACACTAGGAGTCTCTTTGAACCTGTCGTCGCATGGCTTGACGATGGGATTTGCAGCCATAGCGCTGCCGCAGCTACGGAAACCAGACTCCATCATTCCCATCGATGACGTCACAGGATCGTGGATATGTAAGATAACTTCGCATTCCAACTAGATTGTCTTATCCTAACTTTGATATATTTAATTTTATTTTGTTTTTTTTTTTAAGTTTTAAATGCGAAAGTTTGTGTAGATAGGAAGAGTAGGTAACTATTAAAGAACCCGTTCGTGGTCAAAGAATATTATTGTTTAAATACTGTCGAGTAGTACACATTTAAATAAAACACTTTAACGGTTTATTACACACGTTAGCGGGAGACCGTCTCCCCGTGACCACGGCTGCTGCAAAGCATGCGAAACGTCGGGCCGAAGTTTAAAATCATTTTTAAATAAGTTTAACTATTATATCGCGTTTAAAACCGTTAAAGTGTTTTATTTAAATATTATTGGTTTGAAATTTTACTAGACGTTAACAGTAATACTTCATTTCAATTTTAATATATTAAAAATCTAGTGTTAAAAGTAGAATCGAAACCGATTTAATGAAATTTTATTTGCATGTTCAATAGATCGGAGAATTACGTCCTATTTATTTTTCAATTAATAAGGCTAGTCTCCCTCACGATTTTGTTCATCGGGGCAACTAGCCGATGATAATTTATAAATTGGGATATCTTGTACTTGCTATTTCTAAGTAGCATTGTGTTTTTTTTCAATTCACGACAACATTTTTGCGCATGAGTTTTAGAAATACAAGAACAATCCAAGAAAGTGAACCCAAAATTTAAATAACAAAGCGATTGACCCATGAACAGTGAGATATAAACGAAAGATACAACACTTCGTGATTAGATTAGAAACCCTTGCTCTGTTTAAATTTTGCGTCTCTATAAATAACATAAAAAAATAAATTAATATTACTTAAGTCGACCTTGACACGAACGATGTTGGATAGAAAACAAATTATATTACTTTTACATTATTAAATATTATGTGCACAGTAAGTAGTATACTACTTACTATGCACGTCGATAGACAGTTATGAGGCAGAAACAGAACTAGGGCATATTACTAAAAACTCAATTTTCAAAATAAAACTTGTTAAATTTAATGAATAAACTCATACCCTTAAACTATCTGTCTTTCCAGCCGCCATCTTGGGATTTGCCCTCATCGTTGGTAACTTCATCATACCTACGGTTATGGCAAAATACGGACGTCGTACAGCAAACATTCTAAGCATAATTACAATGCTAGTGGGCTGGTTCTGCGTTATCCTGGCAACAAACATCAAAGTGTTCCTCATCGGTAGATTCTTGAAGGGAACTGCTATGGGCATGACTGCGTCTCTAGGGCCTGTTCTAATAGGGGAATACACCAGTCCCAAGAACAGAGGAGCCTTCTTAACCACCATATCATTGTCAATAGCTATCGGTGTTCTATTCGCCCACACCTTAGGAGCATTCTTCTACTGGCAAGTCGCCGCTTTAGTTATAGCCGTAGTCATGTTCTTCGACCTGGTCATCGTTCTATATTCTCCGGAGACTCCAGCTTGGTTATCTGATCAGGGCCGATACGAAGAGAGCAGACGTGTTTTCAGATGGTTGAGAGGAGATTCGGAAGAGGAGGAATTGCGACGTATGATCGAAACTAGTGTTATTGTCAGGGAGGCCAAGGCTGAAATTGTCGTCGCAGACACGTTCTCCAAAAGACTGAAAGCTAACATAGTGTTCTTTAACACTACGATACGTAAAAGAGAATTCTACAAACCGATATTTATAATGATTCATATGTATACTTTGAGCCAGTGGGCTGGAGCAAATATCTTAGCAGCTTATACCCTCGATGTATTCACCAATGTTATAGGAACAGAGGTGAACATTTATTTGATGGTTATAACTTTGGGTGCACAAAGGATCATCTCTAATGGAATCGCTGTGTGGATCATCAAGAAGGTGAAGAGGCGAACGATGCTTTTTGCGACAGTTGGTTTGAACGTATTCGCGTTCCTGGCTATAGCTGCTTACAGCTACCTCAAAGTGCACAATATGCTACCGTACGACCATCCTCTCATTGGAATCTTATTAATACACATTCACATGGTGACGATCGCCACTGGAACGGTACCATTACCCTTTATAATCGCAGGGGAACTCTTCCCCCTAGATTACAGAAGTCTAGCTGGTAGCATAAGTGTTTTCTTCCTGTCCGGAAACTTCTTCATCATTCTCAAGACTGTTCCATATTTGTTCAAGACCATAGGAATACACGGCGCTTATGTGATTTACGCTGCTATTGTTGCGTACTGCCTGGTGATAGAGTATTTCTTCCTTCCTGAAACCAAGGATAGGACGTTGCAAGACATCGAAGACGAGTTCCGTGGACGGCCGTTGTCTCCGGAAGAATTGAAGTCTACGCAGTCTTTGACAGCGTATAAACACAATCAAGATAGGCGATGCAGTAGTCCAGTTATATAGAACAAATCACAATAGTATTAGTGAAATTTGGGTTTCCCTGTGAGGCACAGGGTAAACGCATTTTTATATCTGATCAACTTGTAATATTTTTTTACATGTTTGAACACGATGGCATTATATAAATTAAAAGTATATTTGGAAAAAATGTCCGACACGGGCAAGACTTGAAACGGCATCCACACCCTTTGGTGCTGTTGCTCTAAACGTCGAGTTTTCAACCTTGTGCACTCACGCGCAATGTAATTTCAACCTTAACACTTACATATTGAGGTTCAATGTATTACGCTTTTAACAAAATCATTGGATACGAAAATACAGAGTTATTGATCAATTGTATTTACAGGGAAGTAGTAGTACTTCTGTACTGTGTTCGACCGAAACAACTTATTGTTTAGGTATGTGTTTAGACCCTGAGGCCTGTCGCGCTTGATATATTAGTCTAGGCTTTATTACTTTACCTACTTAAGTAATATGTAAAGCATGTCGCGGTTCGAATAATTAACATAATATGTAGTATTATTTTATTTCGATAAGCAAATTATGTAGAAAATGTACTAATTACATTTTTATCAGCACTATAAATTTACCTTAGGATAGTCTTACATCAAGGTTTAAAAAACCATAAATAACAATTTCGTGATAAACTCGAGTTTTAATGTGGTTCAACCACGGGGTCGTGGGTTCAAATCCCGTCTGATCCAAGTAAGTAAATTCAGTACAGTCTGTAGTTTAGGCGAGCAGTACACATTGAAATAAACCACCTTTAACGGTTTAAAACATGAAATATATTCGTTAAACTTATTTACAAATTAATTTAACTACGGCCCGACGTTTCGGATGCTTTGAAGCGGTCGAGGTAACGCTGCCTAAACACAATCCGTAATTTAGTAATAAGTAAACCCCGTGATTGTTTTTTCTGCGTAATAAAAAAGGTATAGAGAAGTAAATTTATTATCTGTAGCGTTGTATCTTGTCTACCCTTGAATCTCTAGTCTTAATGCACAATATATTATTTGCAACTATTTATAATTGTTTACATTTTTTCAAACAGAACCGGTCGTGAGGTAATAATATACTATAATAAAGCAATACACATACAATGTCTGTCTATTTAATCGTCGGAAACTGAGTAGGGGAAGAAAAACGTTTTTGTCGGTATGTACACGCTAATCCCCTAAAGAACTGCACATATATTTTTCTCCACTAAAAGTTCAGCTTGGGGCAGCAAAATATATGCTAATAGTAGCGTCTCTGTCCCCCTTCAAGGTATAACTTAAAACTGAGTTGAACTATAGTTAATAAACACTGCGTGATTGATTTATTAATAATTGTTAAAGCAAAATGTATATTTTTCATTAACAAGTAGTTTTTCAAGAGCTAGATAAAAAAAATAATGAAAGAGGACACAAGAGAAAAAAGTGCCATGTTAAATACTGTCTGTAGTTCACAACTGTACACATTTAACGGCTTAAAACGCGAAATATTATTATTTAGGTAGATGTTATTTATACATTATTTTACTTAGACATTAGACACCCTCGATTTCCAGTCCGTGACCATAGCTGTTGTAAAGCATCCGAAACGTTAAAACAATTTGTAAATAGGTTTAACTAATACATTTCGCGTTTTAAACCGTTCAGTGTATAATCCTCATATTGAAGTTGCAACGAAGTGTGTCATGGGTATGTGTTAAAAATGTGTCATGGATCATTTAAAAGATATTATTTATTCCACTATATTATTAGATTATTTAAGTACAAATTATTGTTGTAAGAACAATAAATTATATTATATAATTTTGACTTTTTTTTAAATAAAAAACATTACTAAGGTTAGTTATATTTTTTTTTACCAATCTACATGATTTTTATAATTTTATAGAGAGTAAAGTAAATTAAATTTTCATAATAGTTCTTAATCTTTGCGGGAGGGGAGGGTAAATAAAAGACAGTGTACATCTAGAAAACTCTCTTTTCTTCACAACATACAAGCCACCATATAAATCAGTATTATTACAACATATTACACTACTCTTCTTATAAATACAATCTGTGGTTTAGCTTAAATATGAGTTCTAATACATAATCTGTATATATAGTGAATTAACATAAGGATGGTGGCTCTTGTCTGTAATAATCTGACATATTGTAAAAAATTAAAGTGTATTAAAATCGGTCAAGTGCGAGAGGACTCTCGCGCGAAGGGTTCCGTAGCATACATTTCATAGTTAACTTATTTTTATTATTTAAAATGTATCAAAGTTTTTTGTATAAACGCCCTGTAAATATTTATTTGAAATTTAGTAATTATATTTAAATTATACATACAACAAGTATCTTGTGGATATCCCTAGAGAAATTATTGTTTTAAAAGTAAACATCATTACGTTTATTCAGAAGAACATACATTTTGAACAATTATATACTGTCTGTAGTTTACGCGGGTAATACAGATTTAAAACGGCCCGACGTTTCGCCATAATTGAAACTATTTTCAAATAAGTTTAACTAATATATATTGCATTTTAAACCGTTAAGTTGTTGTATTTAAATTTAGATTATTTATTTATTTAAATATAACCGTTTATGTTTAGCTACGGAACCACTAAAAATTATTGAAACCCAAAAAATAACCGTTGTCAATGACTTTAAGGCCCCTTACGTAGAACCACCATCGAAATTCCATCAATTAGTTTATACTTACGTCAATCAAACAGATCTTGAGGCACAATACTAAGTGATATTATATATCATTTTAACTACATAATTCTATATATAAGTATCGAAAAAAAATCTACAAATTAATAGAAAACGACGCTTTAGTAACTTAGCTTCTGACGAAAGAACTTTATTTGTTAAATTGTACGTCACTGAAATATTAATTTGATGTTTACGAATCGCCTTATAGAAGTGTATAAAAACAAAGTTTAATTTTAATATAACACCCTGTTTGTAAGCTTACAATAAAATATTGGTCGATGGCTGTTTCACGATATCGTTTGAGGTAGAGCACAAATTTATTTGTAACAGACAAGCATGGGCGGTTCACTTGATGGAAGGTGTCATAGCCCAGCCACATATCGGCGCAGTAAGATCTATATTGACTGTGAATATTATGAATCTATAGATTAAACTACGCGGCTTTTTCATTTCGATTTTTCTACCACGAATTTAATATACAGAAACATACTGGACCTGGCTGGAATTGAACCCACACTCCATTGATTACTAGTCAAACATAGCTACCATTGACCCGACGAGCCCGTCAAGGTTTTTTTTATTCCGCTTCGGGCTAATAATTGAAAGTACAGTAATTCGAGTAGTTTAATATAATTTAATAAATTTCGCAAAACAAACATCGCGCCAACACTACTTCCGTAACAAAACAACAATAGAAAAACGAACTTAGGACTAAAATACTTAACGCTAAAACGAGTTTTACACAATATCTCACACGTATCGGTGGTACAGGAGAACAGCAATATTATTTTTAAGTAGTAAGGGTCGTTCAACTATTGCGTAAGCACTTAGGGGAGGTGGGGGAGAATTATGTAAGGACTATAGGGAGGTAGGGGTTATATATATTTTGCATTTTAAGCCGACAACATTTAAGTCTTATAAAAACTTATGGTGTCTTGTTAATAGTTCGAAATCTCTTATTTTTACCATGTTATTGCACACAATGGCATGGTATTGGAGCAACACTTATTAATTGATAAGGCGAAGAGGGGGGGGTGTGTGTTAAGCTATGCTTACGTTTGCTTAGGCAATAACGAACGTTCTCTTATTGATGATTAAAAGAGCAATGGCCTATTCCAAAAACCGATAGAACATGATTTGTTAAGCATCAATTGATCAGGAGGGCAATTCTCAACTATACGATATAAGATCAGGTTTGTATCGAGTATAAAACTTTATATCACCGTTTTGATTATTTTTTTCGCGTGCACCTCCTGCAAATAAACTATTGCCTTATTTAAGAGCGCTAACAAGACTGAGCTAAACTGATTTCCTTTAACGACCAAATACTTTTCTCTAAACATTCAAATACATATGTTCAACTGATAATTGTGTCATGTTATTTACTAAATTAAATTTGTAGTGAACGCGAGTAAAACACAATGAACTAAAATGGGGTAAAACACGCTTTAATGAGTATAACGAAACCGACAATTTTCATTTTTAACTTTAACTATACACGAACAGATGGCGCTAGCGTAGCAGATTTGACACAGGGTTTAAATGTGCACTACTCGCGTTAATTACTTAAAATACTATTTATGCACAATCATGTTAGGCTCAATAAGACCGATTAAAAAACCTTTTTAAACCTAAATATTTTTACTTCTCAGATCTTTAGTTATAAAAACTATTTATAGTTTGTGATTTTTCGCCAACAAAAAGATATAATAAAAATACAGTAAATAAGATAATATAAGGGTGAATTTCTGTTTTTTTCATTGCACGTCTTTCACTCCGAAACAAATATACATTATGATACAGATAAACAGAATGTGTATTCAAAATCAGTGTTTTATACATATACGACACAACACCGATTGGTCCGTGATCTAATTAAATATATAAAATATACATCTAGTAAAATATTTAATACGATTTTAACTAACATTCACTAAATATACAATATCTATATGCGCTAGACTAATACATCATCTTGTGTATTTTCAGTATTTTGCCGAGCCGTTGCTTGGCTGTTTTCATACCTTTTTTCAGTCTCATATCTGGAAAGAAACGAGAATTAGGAATGTTATACATTGTACAAGGTTTTCGTGGGACTTTGGAAATACCAACAATATAAGGTGTTGGTAAATATTTAATTTCTTGTTATAGCAACAGCATGGGTTTGTTAATGGTAGTGCGATCTTGGGTTCGAATCCCATCACTGTCAGGAATTCTAAAATTCCGTCCGGGACGCGAACCATTGTCAAAACCCAAAACTGAAATAGGTTGACAACACATCTTGCTTGGATATTAAAGCTTGGGTTTGAAACCTTTCCTGAACTGAACCCTGTATTAAAAATAGTAGACAGCATATAAATACATGAAAAAATAGTACTTACTCTTATTACTAGCTGGATTATGTACAGGCGGCGGGGGCCGTCGGCTTTTTGTCGCCAAAACCGCTCGCTTCGGGTTCTACAAAGAATTAACACTTAATTATTAAGTATTCAAAATTAAGCTATTACCGACACGTTTCTTATAGCATTAAAAAATATATAACAATAATAAAAGATCATAAAGAAGACTATGTATATGCGAAGACGCCAGTTTCATCAAATACCAACTACGACGAAACAGATGGCGCTAGCGTAGCAGTTTTTACTTCGATATTAAAGACACTCTCTATCTCTCGTCTCCCCGTGACCATGGCTGCTGCAAAGGATCCGAAACATCGGGCCGTAGTTGAAATAATTTCCGAAACAGTTTAACAAATTAAAATATGTCGCCTTTTAAACCGTTAAAGTGTTTTGTTTAAAAGCAGTATACTTACTATAGGCATCTTGTTATCTACGGGTGTAGTGTTGGCTTGTGCTGCTGCATGCAGCGCCGCTCTTACGCACTCCCGACGGACCGCAGAGCGAGCTGGACCGCGTAGTCTGGGCACGAGACGGCCGAGTCTGGCGCGCGGCGACCACGATTCGTCTCTGTGGAAATACAAAACAATAATTGTCAATACAAACAATTCACTTGTTAACTGTTATTTTACGTGAATTGAGGCTTCCAGAACCAGAGTGGCCTAATAATATAAACGTGATTTTCAATAGACAGGAAAATAAAAATGGGCAATGGCAACTTAGGCGAAAATGAATTTAAACTATTATTTGTGTAAGAGTTATGTTAACAATTTTCGATCACTGTGCTCATTTTAGACATCAAGCCATCAAAGTGTATCATCTAAAGATGTGCTGTCGAGCTATTCACGGCTTTCTTCTGTGACCTGGACGGAGTTACGATTTTCTTACAACCCATTAACCATCCTGATTTCCAGACGAAGTCCAACATGTTTCAGGAAGATTACAGACCGCTTAAAATATTTTGGACTCGGTAGGAATTAAACCCACGATGCGTTGAATATTAGTTCTGCACACGCTAGAAACATCAACGACCCCGTTTTTCGTATCTTCAGACTATAATAAACACACTGCCTCTCTCGGTACATAGGACTTTGAATTATTAACTTATTTATTTGAAAACTAATGTTATTGCACATGAAGGCACTATATAATTTAGAAATCGATTCATTTTCAAAGACTCGGAAGCTCAATTGGTAGTGCAACAGCGCGGAACGCTGACGATGCCGGTTCAAGTCCTGCTCGAGTCGAAAGTTTTTTCATTTTATAGTCGATTTTTTACTTATTTATTATTAATTTTTAATAAGGACCGGCCATATCATATTCGGAGTGTGTGAAACCAAAGAAAAATTCTCTCCATCCTTATTATAAACTATCCTCGAATTAATCCTTTAATGAGTTCTTAAAATAGGACTATTTCACTCACTTTTCACTCTTCGCTTTGCTATCATTTCTATTCTTGGAGCTCCGCCGTCGACGCGTCGACGTCCAGTCGTCATCGTCGTCCGAACTCATTTCCAACGATGGATAAACTGCAAAAGACAGTTTAATTAAATACTGTCTATAGTTTACACGAGTAGTACACATTTAAATGGAACACTTTAACGGTTTAAAATGCGATATATAAGTTAAACTTATTTGAAAATGATTTTTAAGTTCGGCCGACGTTTCGGATGCTTTTTGGAGATGGGTTTTAACTTAGAGTTTAGTTAACACATATCGCGTTTTAAACCGTTAGACTTACTAAGAGACCACTCCTACTTTTTATTGTCTCCTCTCCAATGTGTCTAGCAGAAGAGATAAGGACTTACCATACTCTTCATCTCTATGAACTTCCTTGATTACGTCCTCTTCATCATCGTAGTCTTCGTCTGCACTCAGCGTAACCGTCTTTCTTGCTCGTTTACTGCTCGTTGGTGTGCTAGAACTATAAAAAAATATTTACGTCAATTTTAACTTGGGCTTACAACACCTATAAAAGTACTAACTCAATAAATAAAATGGATTTATTAACTAATTAAATCAAATTATTGAAATATCAAGTATTGTATGTAACACTTTGTTTAAAAAACTTTAGATGCCAAACAACTGTATGTCTTGCCAATTATGTTAGAATCACAGCGTTTTATGTGTAACTCTGTTGTTTGTGTTGTTGTGTGATATTATCAACGTTTTAGTTAAAATTTAATAAAGAAAAGCTCTAAATACGGTAAACCCTAATATTTTCCGGTAAAACCTGAGATTTACCGGCAGGAGTTGGCCAGTCACGGAAAATATGTACATAATTACTACTAACATACAAAAACGTGGATCTTAAATGTTGTTGTCTTTAGGTTATATGTATAGTACCTCTCAGCTAGCCGCTCCGTTGGACTTGGTCGCTCCGGTGTAGTTACGTCAAATGTCCTCGGCGCCTGCGCTTCGAACCTCTCGCTGATACTCAACATACCAGCCACTGCTGCATCTTCACTGAAAAAAATCGATGCCAATATATACAATTGCCAGGCTCCTTGGGGTAATGCTAGCAATGTATGGCTAACAATCAACGTGTCGTGGCTTCGATCTTCAAGAGGTCCAACATATTTCTAATAATTAAAAAAAAATTCTGAAGCATGTTGTTATCCATTTGGTAATGTGGATATTCAATGATTTGTTATAATATCAAAAAAACCGGCCACGTCACGTACCACTGCCCACAGACGACAAAGCCGTGTGAAGTTTAATCTGGTTTTGGATAAGAGTCTAAAATTTGTCTGAAGAGTTTGTTAGTTTGTTTGAACGCTCTAATCGCAAGAACAGGTTCGAATTGAAAAAAATATATTTGTGTTGGTTAGAGCATTTATCGAAAAAGGCTATAATAGGCTATAAAACATCGTCCTGTAACTAATAGGAGCGAATATACATCGGGAAATGTGACAAAAATTTGAAGAATTATTAATCGATATGGGTTTCCGAGGCGTACGCTACAAAAACGGTTCAAGATACCCAAAAAATATGTAAGAGGGAAAGATTCCTCTATAAATTATCTAAAAAAAGTCCGCGACGCTATATGTCTATCTTGTAAGAACGAATGGAAGGGACGCGACCGACGTCATATAAAATAACTATTCTACGAAGTCGCGAGTGTAACGGCTAGTATTAAATAAAATTGTATAAACAGTTAAAATACAAGCGGCATTTTAAACTTTATCTCATTGCGCTAAGAGTCACTTTTTGATTTTCTCTTGTTTCGAATAGCTACTTGAATTTTCCAAAGAAACTCACGTCTCTGTCACCGGTTGTTCTTCTTCAGCCAATACGGAAGCTTGTATGAGCGATTCGATTCCGTTGACAGGCGCAGGTCGAGATCTGTAGCTATTTGCACTATTGGATGCTACAGATAATGAAAAATATAAAATTAAATACTGTCTATAGTTTACGCAAGTAGTACACATTTAAATAAAACACTTTAAAGGTTTGAAACGTGATTCTCCCCGTGACCACAACTGCTGCAAAGCATCCGAAACGTCGGACCGAAGTTAAAAATATTTGCAAATAAGTTTAACTAATATATCGCGTTTTAAACCGTTATAGTGTTTATTATATATTAATAATAATTAATCTGATAGTTTCGCCAAATACCAACTACGACGTAACAGATGGCGCTAACGTAGCAGTTAAATACTGTCTATGGTTTAGGCGAGTAGTACACATTACATTATCGGTTTAAAACGCGATAAACTTAGGGACACTAAGATGGAGGATGTCTCTATAGTCAAGTAACAACTGGTACGTTTACACTCCCCGTGACCACGGCTGCTACAAAGCATCCGAAACGTCGGGCGTAGTTATAACAATTTTTAAACAAGTTGGACTGATATATTTCGTTTTAAAACAACGTGTTTTATGTAAACCTTTATTATTTATTTATTAATTTGTTTCATTTACTGTTTTAAACTAATGATAGAAATTAGGAATATGAGAATTTCGTCTGTGGAAAGGCATGTGACTCAGTTCCCTACCTGAGTGTTGTCTATGATTGTGTCTATGCTTCGGCGGTCTTCTCCGCGCAGGCGCAGGCTCGTCCACATACAAATCTCCATCTTCATACTCGTATGTGTTTGACATTCTTCTTCGGACGGCGCGCTCTGACCGTCGTACCGGGGTCACTGGTGTGTTTTCAAGGGGCTTTGGTTCTTGTATAACCTGTTTTGAAATATTGATATTGAAATATTGTACACTAAGTATAGTCTTTATTTCTGGCCACGATAAAACTATGTCCTAAAATATTTTTATTAATGATAACATTTTTTTCTTAAGCTATACTCATATTATAAGGCTGAACTGACTTTAGTTTATTTGAACGCACTAATTTCAGAAACTACAAGTTCGCTTTGAACAATTATTTTCATGTTGGTTAGATTATATATCAAAGAAGGCTTAAGGCAAAAAAAGAGTAAGAAAATGTGGGCAAAATTAATCTTTAAGATTTTCCGTTGCGTGCTTTGCGAAAATGGTTCATGAAACCAAAAAAATATATTCCTCGTTAAGTGATGTAAAAAAATATCCGCGAAATTAAGGACTATCTTTTAAGATAATTATTGCAAATTCTAATTTTCGTGCCGAGAATAACTATTCTTCGCATACAAAGCTGGCACAGCTTGTATTTAACAATATTTTTAGAGAGGGATTACATAATGATAATTTGAAGTTTTGGTAAGTATGTCACGCTTTACTTACATACTGATATTGATGTGCAATAGCCGTTTCATACGATGGCAGCTGCGTATGCGCAGGTGCTGGCGAAGGTGTGTACACGCCATTTTGCGCTGGCGCAGTTGACGACGTACTGTACGTAGCACCCTGCTGAATAATCAGACAAAATGTTTTAACAATTTTATAAATATTAAATTTGAAGATTATGCACAGTTTATATGGTTGCTTAGTATAGATATAGATTTTTCTAAAATTATAACTTTTAGTAGCCAGAATGGATCCTTTACATTAGCTAAATGAAGGTAAAAGGTACATCACAACTGCTTATATAATACTTGTTATATACTTTTCAACTTACTTGAGGCGCAGGTACAACAACATCTGTGTACCTTTGGTATGTGTCATATGCAATTTCTGTAGCCGGCTGTATGCCATACTGTTGGTAGGAACCGGGTTTTGCTGTTTCTGAATATTGGTAGTCTTGTTGGATATCCTCTGCTGAGTACATTCCTGAAATTTATTTGGTACTGTTACATGAAATAGGTTTGTGGTTTGGTAGGAAAAATCTATTATAAAGAACAAGGACAACAATGGTGAATGGGCGTCAGCTTATTATATAAATTATTGATATCCCCATTTTAAAAATAAAACTTCTAACGGTTTAAAACGCGAAATATATCATTTAAATTTGATGTACTTTAACTACGACCCAAGGTTATGGACTGATGTTTGGCTTTGACACAGCTGCTGTAATTAATAAACAATAAGTTTAACTAATAGATCTCGCGTTTTAAACCGTTAAATTTTTTTAAAGTAAATGTATACTACCGTTGTAAACTACAGACCACTAACTATAATTGAGCCCGCTAGAGGCCTACCTGAAATTTTATGATTTGATCTCTATTTTCATAGTCTAAAAATTTTAGCCTATAAGATAAAATTGTTAACATAATTCTTACACAAATATTTAATAGTACAAATTCATTTTCGCCTAAATTAATTGGGCATGTTTATTTCCCTCCTTTATTGAAATCATTCACTCATCATCATTCACAAAGAAAAGAAAAAACCTACCAGGCCCATAGCTTATCTCCTGCCCGTCCAATCTGACGTTTGCTTGTAGATTCTCATTAGTGTAAAGCACTTCTTCGTGGTAGTCCCCAATATCTTTCTTCGATATCGTCCATTGCTGTATTGGTTTCAGCGTCCTGTCTGACCTGATCAAATGGGACTTCAGTATTGAATGTTCGGGCAAGCTGTAAGGTGGGGGATCCTGTGATGATGATGGTGAATGCCTGGAAATATTCATCGTAATTGAATGATTACAGTTGAGACAATAACTCCCCTTCTCTTCTCTTTTTCTGTCTTATTTAGCTTATAGTGCAATCAAATTAGTTTTTAAAATAGAGGTAAAGTTGCATTCATTCTAGAGGTAAAAATTGCCCGACGGGACTTCACATTTTATTTCACACTTAGGTACACTAAAACGAAACAATACACTATGCTATTTTAAAAGTAGAGTGTACCGGGCGGCCTTATCGCTATAAGCGATATCTTCCAGGCAACCCGAGTTTATAATAGTATTCTGAACATTCATAACAATTTTTAGCTCTGTGGGAATTATTGTAAGCTTGAAAGTGTAATTTGACTGCTATTATATTTTCATATATACGTATCTCATCAGAACTGAAGATCTACCAATTTTAATGAAACTTTATGATGGATCGTTGGTGTAATAAATAACATAGGAGCGAATCATAATTTCGGAGTCAAAATCAAACTTACATTTTAACCTTGACGTTCTTCTTCTCCTGCCGTTCCACATAACCATTACCATCCTGGTAAGCCACCTCAAAGTTCTGATAAGCAAACTTTTCCGGCAACACCTCCTTTTCCACTATAAATTTCGCCTCTGGCAACGTATTGACGTACTTCACGTCATTGACGAACTTGGCATCGCTGACGTATTTTAGATCTGTGGCGTATCTGTCATTGAACGCCACCTCCTTATTGTCTATGTAATATTTATCAGAGTATATTTTTTCTTCAATAAAATCCCCGTTTTGGGCATTCTGCGCCATGTGCATTATCGGTTTGGGCAATGTCAGTTTCAAAGGCTTCTTCTGTGAGGCTTGTTGTTTTCTGTTGTTCGCTTTTACGGGCGAAACGCTTTTTTGTTTGCTTTCCTGTAATACATTTCCAATGAGACAAATAATAATTGAAATTTAACGGTTTAGAACACGAAATATAGTAAACTTGACTATAAATTATTTGTACTAATATATTTTGCCTTTTACACGGTGTTTTTTTTTTTAATGTGTACTACGCGTAAACTAAAGACAGTAGAAAAAAGAATTAAACTAAACTCAAATAGAAGCTATGCTGAGAAGACAACCTTCTCAGCATATCTTTCTCTATCTAAAGACATTTCTGCATAGTAACTGGTGTTTGAATAAGTTAAACGTGTTCTGTACATTTATTTTCCATTATTACAGGATTTTAAATCATAACGTGTAACGGTTAAGATCTAAATTGCATTTTGACGTACACATGAAACAATCTTGATAAATACCTTTCATATACAAAATTTACATTAAAAATCCTTACTTTCTCCTTACTGCTACCGCTACGTTTCTCCAGCACTCGCAGCTCCTTACAAAGCTCTCGGACTAATTGGCCGGAGTTCAAGCACTTTGGGACATTGTCACGTTTTGATGTGTCCGTCTGCAAAATATTGAGTTATGAAAAGTTGGGTTTAATTTCATATGAACTCTAATAGTCTATAAAATATAGGTACTTCCCATTTAATTATTTTAAATATTTATAATTTTTCTATGTTAATTTTTAGCTACAATAACTTATTGGCTGTTCTCTTGTTACAAAAAAAAATGGGACTTACACTTTTCAACGCATGCCATTCTTTGAGAGCGTTAGCCAGAATCTTAATCCCTCGGAGCAGCAAGGGCGGCAGATCAGCTTGTGTTGGTGGTACACAAGTCTCACTCAGGGTAAAGTCTTCATCCTATATCGCAAAAAAATCGTGTAAAACATGGTTTATTTATTTATTACAACTGTATTCTTTATACATGTAACAATACAAAATCCTACGTACTAATATAAAAAGCGGCCTTATCGCTAAGCAGCGATCTCTTCCAGGCAATCGAAATACAGGAGAATAGGAATAAAAAAAGCTTATTCAGTGGTAGCTACACGGTATAATAAACAAAAAGCAAAGGTACACAGCTCGTAGTTTTTCATCGCCTAAATATGATTTATAAACTTTTAGATGGTTTTAGATTACTGTTATGGTCTATAAGTATCTTATTTACCTGAGTCTCTTCATTGTGTCTCCTCAGCATCGCTAGCAGGTGCGCTCCAGCATACCAGTGCATCGCTTCAAACAAGGGGTACCGAAACATCATTGGTGTTTCCACGCGACTTTCTATTTCGTATATCCTGAAACACAACAGGTAGAACATAAATTAATTAATTTGACCTGGGAAAAACTTGACAAGGCGCCCACAATGTTTTATTGGTATTTTACATGTTTTTGTAGTAATAAAAAATAGATGCTTATTTCATATATACTACACTACACGTGAAGATGGCCCCGAGTTTCTTGCCACTCGTTGTTTATAACTAGCTGTGCCCGCGACTTCGTACACGTGGAATAGTGACTTTGGGTAGAATTTTTATTATTTACACTTTTTCAATTATTCATTTTATATATGAGGTAGTTCTATGAAAATTAATTATACTAATACATCTACACAACTTTTTTTCGCACAGCAAAACGTTTTTACAATGCAAGTCATCGAAAAGGGGACATTCAAGGCAGTTATTTTATATAATTTATAATTAATTAAGCTTTGTTGTAAGTGCTACTTTGACGCGACACTGCGTCTCTCACCTCACATGACTCCTACTCTAACGCCCACTCTCACTCCTCATTCCCACTCACACTCCTATTCCCAAAAAGCCAAAGAAGTTTTATTGTTCTAGCTCCAAAAATCCAATTTCAATACAAACTTTCATCCCCCTTTTCAACCCTTTTTTTTGCATTAAAAAGTAGCTTATGTCCTTTCTCAGGCTCTAGAATGTCTGTATACCAAATTTCATTTAAATCGGTTTAATAGTTAGTCGGAGAGACAGACCGACAGAGTTACTTTCGCATTTATGAAGATAATTAAAGTTTTCTTTTTTTTTAAATCACATACCTCCTCTCCTTCTATTAGTTTCTTATAATGAAAACTTAATATAATGACATTAAATATAACTTCACTTACTGTAGTTGCATCTCAATCGCATAAGAATGTAGTAAGTTTCCTCCGAACACCAGTGAATCGCAGGGTGTGTATACAGCATGGATCCAGCCGGAAGGGATAAATAAGGTCTCCCCAGCACACAACTCGGCAGTACCATACCATTCCACCTAAAAAAGAATCTAATTAATCGTATTCCCATTAAGTATTAAATAAATGGTATTGTTTAAAAAACACACCATATCACCAAAGAATCTTTCATTTTGATTGTTTGCGGCACTCCATTGTTGGTATAACGCCAGGTTTGTGGATGTTGGTGGTATTAAGTAGAATATCTGTAGACAAATATACCATCTTATTATCAAAACACAAATATAAAAACATGGTCTTTATGTGAATGAATTTTTTAATTAATATATATATGTATAATTTTAATTTTACAGTTTAAAAAATGATTATTGTAATCTGATGCATACATATATTTTTTAATATAACAAAGAAACCAATTCAGTTTGATTCCTTTTTAACAAAATTGTAAACAGTAAGTAGGCTCTTGTCCCTACAATTTAATACCAAAATTTTAAGTGAAATATTTCACTTACTTTCCGTCCATGCAGCACATGATACCAGACTGTTGTACCACCAAAGTCCACATGGTAGTCAGTATAGGCACCACCCGCTGACATCAAGCAATACCGTTGCACGGCCGGTCGCGGTCTGCCTTCGAGAGTTGAACCGCCCGCCCATACGCGCTCAGCCCAGTCTAATCTACGAGCCAGCCCAGGAGGTTCTACAAGCGGGGCCATACTGAAATAATAAAGTTTAAAAATATATTCAACGCATATAATGTACCTTAAAGTGTTAAAAAAAATAAATTGTGTAAAAGAAAAAGCAATTAATTGTGTAAAGCTTTCACGCCCATCGTTCAGGCGGACGGCATCATCAGATCTTAACTTGATAATTCTTCGAGCTATCGAGGAGTTAACATCAGCTGATGATGCCGTCTGCATGTGATGGCAGAACGTCGAGAACCTCCTTCTCGCTCACGTCGGCCGAACAGCCCGAAAGACAATGATATGCAAGACTTAGCAGATTCATGATTGTGAATACTTAAATAAAACACTATAGCTATAGTTTAAAACGCGAAATATAATAAACTTACGTGTTAAACATCCGAAATGTCGGGCCGTAGTTAAAATAAGTTTAGTTAATATATTTCACGTTTTAAACCGTTAAAGTGATATTTAAATGTGTCCCACTTCACGTAAAGTACAGACAGTATTATAAAAATTCCTCTTAGTAGTAAAAATCTCACTTTGTATCACTGAATTCTAAACTGAGGACATTCAGTACTTTATCATCCCGATGTTCTGGAGGCGTTTCAAAATACTCTACAAAGTCAGCCAGCGGCATCCGGAGGGAAGACTGTTTCCGTACATCAATGACTTCGACCTGAAAAGTTAAATTCCATAGAAAATATATTTGATACAAGAAATTATATAACAGAGAAAGAATGGATTGTGAGCATACCTCTAACTGTGCTCCACAAAATCTCAATACTGATCTGACATTAAATGAAGCCGCATTTGGCACTTTCATGTCCAGTCCATCAATGCTGTGAAAAATGACTGGTCGAGTGAATCCTGAAAAATTAATTGAAGAAAACTCAAAATTGCCCTTAAACAAGAATATTTCTGAATTACACTATGTATAAGTACTAGAAACAGATAATATTTACCATTATCCTGTACAAACTCCTCTGTGAACTGGTCAGACCTCATCCTCTGCAAAGCCGCCTGTGTCGGTCGTAAGGGTCGAGCTGCCAACGCTCGGATCCACGCCGGTGTACCTGCCTGTGAGGGCCTTGTCTCTGCTCCGATTTCATAACGATCTGCTCTATGGTTATTTGTTGGTATTTTTGCTGAAATGACCAGGTCAGAAATATTAGCAAATTTTAATTAAACTGCATACTTGTTTCTCTACCAATTGAACTACTAAGTCCTTGGTAGCTCCATTGAACTGTTTCTAACTTTGAATAACTAAGTCTGTAGTTTACACATTGATATATGTACTAGTAAAAATTAATAAAATGTCCAGTTGTAGTTAAAATTAAACTACACCCTTATCTATTAATTTTTAAACTTTTTGAGTTTTATTTAAATTTAATTGAGCTTCCCTAAATATATGCTGTTATTGACATTATATTAATTGCTATACGTGGGGTATGGGACAAAGATTTCAATGTATTGAACTTACATATAATGCTTATAGACATAAAAAGGCAGGTAGTCTTACACCTGCCGCACAGCGGAGGCGTACATAAACATTGCATAATAAAAACAATAGGTACTTACAGACTGAAGGGCCATATGTTGGCTCACACTTAGGACAGTGGTATTTGTCGATATCATCTGAATGATATATTTTTACATTAACACAACTGAAAGAAAACAGTATTTGTTAGAAACTAGATTATGGGCATATTATGACGACAAATAAGGGATAATGAAAATGTCTGTCTACGTTTTGATATTGGATATAGGAGGATCTTTTATACATGATAAGTAGCGCCTATTTTAGGCTTTAAATTGTTATTTTATGAAACGCAATTGTTAACAAAGGGCAAGTCGCACATTTTGGTTCCATGGTGACCAACAGGGTAAACAAATAATGCAAATTGGTACACTATAAAATATACCCAAAAATTAACACTAAATACTTGAGCTTAGTTTCAACGCACACAAACAAGAGAAATATTGAATTATTAAGAGAAAATTCAAATAAAACATAATACACAACATGATGGCCGAACCGCAAAGTGGTGTAAAATTTATTTAATTTTTCTTCACTCACAATGGCGTTTCCGAGGTGATATTTATATAGATTTAGATTTACCTTCCATGGAACCACTCTCGGCAACAATCACATTCGATCATAAACTGTCCAACATTATAAGGTTGACCACACAAACAATAAGTTTCCTTCGATGACGCCATTTTGATGGCGAATAGACAATATTAAAACTTTTTTTTACCACGTCGATGTAGGATTGCCACATACAAAAACTAAACAACCAGAGACTAAAGTAATGACGAAATTTTAAAATATATTAATTAAAATAACATGTAAACTTCATAAGGGCGTCTGAGTTTTCTAAATATTATTTTAACTAAAGTTAAATTGTTATACTTATAACAACATTATACAGGATAACCACTAGATGGCGTTGATAACAATCGTTTATAAATCACAAGTAAATTGTTGCGTTAATCCTTTTTTTTATTAAAGTAGTTAATTATAATAACATTGTTACATTTGAGATGTGGTTGTCCAGTTTTCATGGAATAATTCGCATTCTACTACATTTTGAGTAACTTTTTACGTCAAAGTCAAAATTAGCAATAATGTAGTAACGGGGAAGTAATACTTTTAACATCAAATTCAATTAAGGGTGTAGAACGAAAGTGAAGAACCGGCAAGAAACTCGGCCTCGCTTTTTATCGCCATATTTATTATTACTACACGATTTCAATGACGATCAGTCATTACAAGCCTTCCCCCACATTCCCCGTTCGTGCACATTAATGAGTGCGGCGCTTCGTCAGTAATCGTTCTCATCTGTATCTATACAAATATATAAAGCTGAAGAGTTTGTTTGTTTGTTTGAACGCGGTAATCTCAGGAACTACTGGTTCTAATTGAAAAATTACTTTTGTGTTACGTAGAGCATTTATCGAGGAAGGCTAATAGGATCGAAGAAACAGCTAGATTAAACTTGGGAAAAAACGGGGGAGATTATTCAACTCTCTGGGTTTCCGATGTGTACGCTCGAAAACGGTTCAGACACCAAAAAATATGTTTGAACGAAATACTGTCTATAGTTTACGCGGGGAGTTCCCTTTTTAAAAAAAAACCCTCAACGGTTCAAGACACCAAAAAAGTATATTTAATTTGTAAATAACTAATTCCTCCATAAAGTGTTTTATTTTAAAATTATAAAAAAAATGTTCGTGACACTATATTATGTCTATCTTTTAAGATTAACTAGCAAGAACGAAGGGACACGACTAGTCACACGTAATGCGGGGACAGAAAAACCCGACGCATGGACGTTAGTCCATACCCCCAGCTGCAACATAATTCAAAACGGACGTTATTTTACTGCGCAATTCAAGATTATTATGATCCTAAGTATAGTCTTCTATTGCAGGTACGCGATACATCTTCTTAGGTCTTATAAATATTTTTTTTGTAAAATTGGGACAGATTTTTTATAGCAGTAAACGAACTCCTCGGTTAGAACGTTAGGTTTTTCTTTATAAACAATACATAATCATCTCTATGTACAATAATTGCGACGTAGGGTTTTGCAACCTGCCGCCGACTCACGCGCAGTCGATGTAACGCGCACAGAGAAATCGACCGTTGACACTTTCTCGTATTTTAAAATACCATAAATAATTCTATTTCAAGGTTAGGAAGAGCTTATGTATATTATAAATCAAGTGTTAATTTTGGAATTTAAATGGATGGCGGTATGGGGTGAGTAATTTTCATATACAGATATGTATTTATATGAGTACTATCTGAACTAAAATAGCTACTAATATATAATAATATATTTAGAGGATTCTGTCTTTTAAGTATGAACTTAAAAGAGTTTCTTCGCCCTTTAATATTTTTAATTAACTTTCTTTATCCAAACGTATTTTAATTTCAAACAGCCAAAAAATATTGAATGTACAGTAAAAATTTATAAACGAACACGAAATCTCCTAATTAGCGGTTTATAAGATTATATGTTGTCCTATAGAATTACGATTTGATATGGTCCATTCAGAAAAATAATTGCATTCAGAATCAGAACTACTTATCTATTAAAACTAGACATTTAACTATTAATAAAGATTAATTAATAATATATATTAGTTAAATTATTTTTCGTTTTAAATTGCGTTTTTATTCATTCAACCCACGTAATCTTTTGTAACATAATATATAGTTTATTCTGCTTATTTTTCAATAGACAAAAATATGGTGTAAGATGGTGACCTATTGTAGAATGTTCTATAAGTACAGAGGTGACATAATATTTTGTGAAAGTGCGTAAGAGATGTATAGTCTGTATGTGTAAAGACCAAACTTGGAACGATGGCTTAGCATCGTAGTCTAGTTAGAAAAACTACAATAAACTGATGACTAAAAATTATTATATTATTTAATTTTTATTTATGATTGAGAACAGATAAGACGATGTCCAACATGTTTCTGAAACATTATAAATTGATTAGAAAATTTTTAAATCCAGTGGGAATCGAACCGTTGGTTATTATTTAGCTATACATTGCTACCATAAGCCTGTTATTATATTTTATCAACGGCTACTTAGAAGAACTTGCTTGTACTCCAAATCTTAGATTTTAAGGCTAATCGAAGTAGATTTCTTTATTTAAATAAAACACCTTAACGGTTTAAAACGTGATATATCAGTTAAACTTATTTGAAAATGATTTTAACTTCGACCCGACGTTTCGGATGCTTTGCAACACCCGTGGTCACGGGGAGACGAACGAGAGAACGTTGGGCCGAAAATAATTTTCAAATAAGTGTAACTATTATATCGCGTTTTAAACCGTTAGTGTTTTATTTAAATGTGTACTACTCGCGTAAACTATAGACAGTATTTAGATTTCTTTAACCACCTCTAGTAATATTTTCTTTCGATTATATTTTTATTGGTACTTTCGTCGTCACAGTGATAGTATAATACAATAACATCTTGATAAAAAAAGCTACCTAAAATAGAAAAAATGTATATGATTACCGCATACAATGATCCAAAGAATTTACTTTACTAAGAATAAACAACCGCATACAAGTTTACGTAAGTATAAAATCTACTTTACATTGAAATAAATTAATGACACGAATCGACGACCGTAGACTTCCTCACTATCGCGCCACCATTGAGCTATCGCGTTTTTACACCCGTTACATATACATTGAATAGTTATTTAATAATTTATTTAGTTCTATAAATATTAAGCTTTATAGACACCAAGCAGTGTCAGCAACTTCATTCGTGTAATAGTTCAAAATTTGTTTTTGCAACCCTTTTCCATCTTTATAAATTATACCTGCTACCAGCACTAAAATTATTTTTTAATTCGAACCAGGAGTTCCTGAGATTATCGTGCCCAAACAAACAGAAAAGTTCTCAGCTTTATAATATTATAGATAGCTAAAAACATACGTTCGTTACGTCGCGGAGGCTTGCACAAATTTCTGTCAAAATCACTGTATTTTTTCCATTTTAACTCTTATTTGCTATGTATTTATTAAAATCTAAATTATTTAATCTATATATAGCCAGCCTTGTATATAGTTAATAGAATTGAAGCTATATAATTTAGCTTCTCTATACTTTCCAAGACAGTCTTGCGTTGAAGTCTAAACTATGAGACATTGAGAAAGACAATTACTTTGCAATCTTGCGCTCACAACTGAACCGATCGAATTAATTTAATTAGACTTGTGTTAGGTTGAATAGAAGCAATTTGTTATTTCAACTAAACTCGAATTGAAGTCCTCTCGTGGTTAACATCATTTCCATGTTAAGCAACTAAGGCGTTTTGTTGAGATGTTAAAAGAAAAATTGACCCAACATACAGACATCAGGTAGGTAAGTTACGATTTGCTGTTGACTTATTCTAGTTATGCATCTTTGGAATTTTGCAGGCTGAAACGGGAATGCTTATTCGAAGACGTAATATCAATAATACAATATTTGTGATTATGGTTCAGTTTCAGGTTTAACATTTTTAAGTGTCTGTAGTTTTACGCGTCTATTACAATAATAAAACTGAACCGTGGTCACGGCTGCTGTAAAGCATCCGAAACGTCAGGTCGTAGTTAAAATAAGTTTAACTTGTATATCGCGTTTTAAACCGTTAAAGTGTTTTATTGAAATGTTGAAAAGCATCAGAAATACCGGTAGGAATCGAATCTATGATCCGTTAGTTACTTAACATACGTGCTATTGAACCAACAAATATATTTATATTTGAATAAAACACTTTAACGGTTTAAAACGCGATATATACCTATTAGTTTAAAAAAATCCAAATAAGTTTAATAATAAATATCGTTAAACCGTTGAAGTATTTAACTATATCTATATTTATTTATTACAATAAGCTACGTAATTTTATGAATTTCTTTTGCTTCCTGTAAGCTGTTAATAGGCTTTTTATATACCAACACTTACCTCCGCTTCGCTTGTCTTGTATTGTGTTTTTAAAGACCCTTCACACTAGCGTCGTTCAACCGTCAATGTCGTGTGAACGACATGCGTCAAATGATCGTTCTACTATACTAATATTATGAAGCTAGTTTGTTTGTTTGAACGCGCTTATCTCGGGAACTGCTGGTTCGATTTTTTTTGTGCTGGTTAGATCATTTATCAAGGTAGGCTTATATTAAATAACCAGAAGAAGCTGACACGAGCGCTGCTTAACTGGTTAAAGAAACCAAAGAGATCTTTACATTGTCTACATAAATGTCTGCGGAAGCATATGTCTGTTTTTTTTGTCATTAACTGGCAAGAACCGTTGTTATGGTAAATTTGGTATTATTAAAAAATTATAATTGAAAAAAAATGATTTTTTAGAATTGTATCAAAATAATAATATTCGCGGACAAAGTCGCGCGCACATCTAGTTGTAAATAATCATGAAAGTTTTTATCACGATTTTTTTCATATGTTCCCAGTAAAAAAAACCATAATGATTGCTTTTCCTGAACGCAAAATTACTACAGATGACCTTACGTATATTCACAGTTAATTTTACTTTTTTCTTTACCTAGTTCTCGAATCAGTTATATCATAAGCCAGGCGTCGGCGCTGGCGCACGAAAAACGCTAGTGTAGAGTGCATCTTTGAGGAGATTCAGAAGTGGAGATTACCCTGGTGACCAACGTAAATAAGGTTAAACAT